TGCATATGGAAGTCTCACATTGCTTTTTGGTCGAATAGCCACTGACACAGTATAGCAGCACTGTGGAAAGCTGCGGTTTGCAATCCGTCGGCAAACAGAATTAGAAGCTGTGGCCTGAAGAGGGTTTTTAAACCACTGTTTCTCCTAAATATGGTGTTATGCCTAAACTGACAAGCTAAGATTTGCAGCTGGCCAGAAGACCAGAGGCTCTCTTTCACTGGAGATGTTTAAGCAGAGATAGGATGGCCATCCATCAGGAACACGGAAGTTGCACCCTGCATTGGGCAGGGGGTTGAAATAGATGTCATCTAGGGTACACTCCAACTCAACGATTCTCCATTTTGAGCTGCCTTGATTTGATCCTGATGCTGTGTTTTATTGTTTTATAGTTGACTCTTGTGTAATATGTTTATCTGCACCTCACCCTGGAAGGGGTACAGATCAGGGGTCGGCAAGGTTTATCTTGCCTGGGCCGGATCGGTCCCGTGGAGATTCCCCCGTGTGATGGATTGCGTGCGAGTGTGAGCGTGCATGCGTGCCCGCAATTTTCAGCATCTGCGCGTGTGCAGACGCAATTTCCTGCGCTGTGGAAGCGAGTCCCCACGCTGGTTTAGTGCAGATTTAGTGCAGCACGCGAACGGGCACCTCAGTTCGGGGGTGGCTTGTGGACTGGCTAAACGACCTCCGCGGGCCGCTTCCGGCCCATGGGCTTTAGGTTGCTGACCCCTGGTATAGATGGTGGGAAGGCTATATTTCAAATACATAGTTAAGTTTCTCCATTCAGCCTTGCCAGCAGAATGTTGTCGCTCCACCTGCGTGGAGCTCCTCCTTCCACCCACTCAACAGGACATCAACCAGGGTTAGGATTACCCACTCAATAACTTTTTTGTTGTCGCTGCTATTGTGAAGCAGCTTATAAATGTGCAAATAAGCAGACACCAAACATTGGGTAGCAAACATTAGTGTGGGCACCCCTTGCTTTGATGTTGCAGGTATTATTCAACAAGTGCCCAAGGCCAATTGTAAAAGCAATGTCAGCAGGGATGGAGGAAACAACCTTATTTTTTAAATACAATTTATATACTGCTCGATCGTTAAAACAAAAACAAAAAACTAAGCACCCTCTGAAGCAGTTTTTTTAAAAGAGCAAAACGGTAAGATTATCGGTAGTAAGGGTTTTTAAAAGCTGTTTGAAACATTCAGGAAATAATGAAAATCACAGTTTAAAATAAATGTAGGACTTCTGTGGATTTGAGCAGGCTTGTTTGGGTAGCTTTAAGGACCCCACAACACACTACAACCTCCCAAGTGGAGCTTCCCTCCCTCTACTGGTGTAAATTCAACTATTAGCACAACAAGGGGTAGCAGGAAAAAGTCAGGGTCAAGCTCTATATCCTACAATAGAATAGGCAGGCATTCAGTCAAAAGCTATTTGTAGAACAGAGGAACTCAGAGCCACCGTGTTTGTGGCTTCAATTGTCTGCTTTAATCTGCACTCACCAGAGCTCAAGGGTAATTAGCTTAGCGTTTAGGACTCTGGCCAATTGTGATATGCTAATTCCTTTACATTCTGGCTAGGTACTAAAGATGCGATTAAGGTTGCAGTGGGTCTTTTGGCAAGAGAGTTTCCAGGCAGGAGTGTCAAGGACAAATCAGGATGTTTGGCTGAGTCAGTTCAGACCTAATTCTTCCAAGAACCCTCACTGTAAAAATCACCAACCGCGCTGTTATTGTAGGTTCCTCTGTCCTTTGTTAGGCTAAATTTAGAAGCACTCCAAAAAAGGCTATAGTCAAGTAATATCAATTTTAGTTCTCCTAATGCAAAATCAACAGGAATCACAGAACCCCTAGTATGCGGCATTTATGATTATTTTCAGTGAGAACACACAGAGTAAACTTGATAGCACACCAGAAGGAACATCTAAGAAGTTCAGAAGCTCTCCCCACACAGATCCACCTCATTCTCATCCCTATTTTCAAATTGGAAATGTGTATTTAACAAGTGTTGTTAACAAGTGCTGGATGACAAATGTATCCTTGGATATGAAGTCTACTCAAAACGTTAGTCAAATTACTCCTTCCTTCCTACCCTCATATGACAGCAGCAGAGAAGAGAATGTATTAGGGCAGGCATGGCGAGACTTGGCCCTCCAGCTGTTTTGGGACTACAGTTCCCATCATCCCTGACCACTGGTCCTGTTAGCTAGGGATGGTGGGAGTTGTAGTCCCAAAACATCTGGAAGGCCAAGTTTCGCCACGCCTGTATTAGGGCAACTGACCCTGCCTACCGTGAAGTATTTGTACAAGCAAATGCTTGTAGGTGGGACACAGCACACAGAGATAAGAGCCGGGTTCCTTAGGTAACAGTTCTATTTTGTAACAAATACTCTGTGACCCAATTTGCAGGTAACGCTAAGCCAAAACATGGCTTAGCACCAATGGGTGAGCATCCAGGCTCCCAGTGAGGAGATCACCACCATTTTGCTCCTCCTTCAGTCATGCTGCTGCTGCTGCTCTGCTGCCATAAACAAAGACATGGTTTGGCTTAGCATGCCATCTGAACCCTGGCTCATGGTTTGTCCCCTCCAGACAAACGACAAGAAGAAGCAAAACTCGGTTGCAACTTCCAGAGCGCAGCAACTTCAGAGAGCCTGGTCTAAGGCTCTCAAAAAGCCATTTCAACTACTGACCTTCAGCACTTAATGTGGCAGTAAATTCAAGGCATTATTACGTACGTGTTGTTGTTGTTGTTTGAAGTAATGCGTGTTCCTTTCCCCTCTCTTGCACCTTCTGCTAATCAGTTTCATTGGTTCATAGCATGCACAAACACACGTCCTAGTACGCCGAGAAAGAAACACCCACGCAATTGCCCCTACCTCATTGTCCTAAACAAAAACATCCCAAATGAGTTTGCCTTTCCTCCCAAGGGAAGCAATAGCAGTACTAGAATACGAATTTTAGAACTATACATATGTTTTCTGAAGGGCACAGAAGAGGCAAAGTCAATTCTTGGGTGGGAGGATTCATATTAAAAAAGTCTTTTCTTCAAACAACTGCAAAGGTCCAGAAATGGGGAGGGGTGGGAAGAAGTTCTGGTTTGTCCTGCCCTTGTCTTGTGCAATTTGATCCAACCCATACCTGAAATTTTCCGTTGCCCTTTTCTGTGCCTTTTAAAGCTCTTTGCCAGGGATTATACATCGTTGTCTAAAAGTGGCCACATCAATGATTTAATAGAATGGCAATCCTGATCCTTGCTGTCCTATTTTCCCAGAGAGCTACAATTCCTCCCTGGGAATTTCGTATAAACCACTCTGGGATCTGTAGCTCTCTGAGGATAATAGTGGTCTCCTAACAATTCTCAGCAGCCTTAGCAAAATACAGGATTCCCAGGATTATCTGGAGGAAGCCAGGACTGTTTAAAGTGGTATCACAATGTAGAGTGACAGCCATTAACTTTCATGGGTCTGCTCTCCTGTACTGAGTACGGTAGTCCCCTACACTCTCAAGAAAGTCCCCATTACTTTCAACAAGACTTTGCAAAATAATCTTCCTGGTGGATTGAGTCCTATTTCTGACAGATCAGTCTCAGTAGTCAGTGTTTTAGCTTTGCAGGGAATGTAACACCATTCAAAATTCTCTGGCTGCGTCAAGTTTCAAAACAGCAAGTCATTGCAAGGGTTCATTCCAAAGAGTGTGGGATTTTTGCAGAGAAATAATAACAGCAGCTGACAGTAAGTCAGTATTTGGCTAGTTCACCTTCACTTTTCCACCTGAACTGGAGTGGTGCCAGTATTAACATCAATGTTTGAAGTGAGTGACTGGCATCAAATTGAACTGCTTACAACATCCCCTAGCACCTGACACACAAACAAATAAATCAATAAGGCTATTTAGTTTAGCAACAATGAACAGAATGTGCTGCTCGCTGTTAAGCGTCAATGGGTAAAATCCAGCTTTCTTACTGTTGAGTATAACATATGCTAAGAAACGGGTTGCAATTAAGGTGCAGATTTTTGATATTTTAACACCTTGCCCTGGAGATACCTCAAAGATTTGAGTTGGAAAGGCAGTTATTGATACAATTCTGAACTTCCATTGGAAATTTAAGGGCGTGCTGGAGTTCCCATATAAAACGACCTGATCCACATCCCTAGTTGGACCTGTCCAAAAGATTCTGTATGTTCCTGTCAATTTAAATGCACACAACTAAATACTAAAGAATATATACAATTAAATACATATTTTAACATGTATTTTAAAAGGATGCATTTTTTTAAAAAAAAAGGTAGATGAATGCAGAACTGGGATGGCATTATGGATAATAGCAAGTAGAAGTTGAAGGAACATCCCCAACCAGAAACAAGCACAATTTAATCAAACTGAAGCAGCCTAGGTGTCTGAAATCATAGCACAGTGGTACCTCGGGTTAAGTACTTAATTCGTTCTGGAGGTCCGTACTTAACCTGAAACTGTTCTTAACCGGAAGCACCACTTTAGCTAATGGGGCCTCCAGCTGCCGCCACACTGCCGTCGTGTGATTTCTGTTCTCATCCTGAAGCAAAGTTCTTAACCTGAAGCACTATTTCTGGGTTAGAGGAGTCTGTAACCTGAAGCGTATGTAACTCGAGGTACCACTGTACCTTATTTACTTGCAGATTTAGAAACAGCCAAAGCTATCTAAGCAATGCACAAGAAGGTAAAATTTAGAATCTGCATACAAAATACACAGATTCTAAAAACAATAAAACCATTACCACAAGTGAACTAATTTAAAGAGCTTGTTTTGGGCTAGATTTCACTCTGGTTTTCTGATGCTGAGGTTTTACCTTAGGCTGTTTTCCCCACATTTATTCATCCTTCTAAACACCTTAAGGAGTGAGCATAGGGAACTTAGGAACACAGGGAGCTGCCTTACATTGAGTCAGCCCATTGGTCCATCTAGCTCAGTATTGTCAACGCACATTGGCTGATACTCATCAGGACTCTCTCCCAGCCCTACCTGGAGATGTCAGGGATTGAACCTGAGACTGTCTGCCCTGTAAGGCAAATGCTCTTCCACTGAGCTAAGACCCTTCAAGTTTCTCGAAGGCAGAAACTTTTACAACCCCAAAAACTGACCCGGGAAATCTGAGCTGCAGCTCATATCAATGACCTAATGGTTCACCTGTTAGGATGCTTGCTGTTAACAGAAACCCCACAGTGAGTGCAAGGTGGGGGTGGGAATGTCCTAATGTGATGTGGGAACCAGCTTTCATGATGTGGGAACCTGGCAATCCACCCAGAACACAGTACATAGTGCCACCCCTGACATAGCAGCAGTCCCTCTCGTTTAGAATGATGGATGCTGTAGACTCAACGGCGGAGTCACTTTAATGTTACTCCTACCATCTGGATCACAAGCACAGAGAAAGGCTTTTCTGGCCCATAAACAATTAAGGAGCAATATGCAATTTGGCTCCTAAAAGGGCCAATGCTGAAAGTTGCAGAGTAACATTCAAATAACAGCAGCTCTGGATCATGAAGGTTCTAATGTACTGAGAACATTGCTGTGCATGATTTCATATAAATAAACTAATTTTCTAATAGAGCAAATGCTTGGATAGCACTTCTGAGAAGTGAGCTAGCTACTTCTTTGCAATCTAACACAGGGTCACTTCATCAATGCTTTTAAAAATATATATTCAGTGCTATTTTTGTAAACAAAGAGGTGCTGGAACTCAAAATGGCAATGGCGCCCACCTGAGAGGTGCCGGAACTGAGTTCCAGTGAGTTCCAGCTGAATAAAAGCCCTGACTATATTGCAATATAGTTTATTTTAAAAAAACAAACCTATAATATACTATAGAGTATTTTTCACTCTATAGGATGCACTTTTCCCCTCCAAAAATTAAGGGGAAATGTGTGTGCGTCCTATAGAGCGAAAAATACGGCAGTAATAACTGTTACCATCTTGCTTTTTTATTATAATGTCAGTAAAAATGCTCCTGAATCAAAGAGAATGTGTACCTTTCTACACCAACTAATACCTGGAGCTGGTAGGGATGAAAGGAAAGGATATTATTTTGAGAAATAAAATGTTACTTCATTTATTATTCCAGAATTTATTCCTGGCAATTAGAGATTCTGAGACAGTAAAAAAAAGGAAGAGAAAAAGAAATCTCCAATTCAGTCAAAACATTTTTTTTGGTAAGTATTCATACTTAGGCGGGTGTTTTAAAATCCAAAGGTACAGAACAATAAAACTGAAATCAATGTTATACTCTAGTGTATCTTTCCACAGAAGTCTTACAATGTCAAAGATCAATGGTTGAGGTGCAGACCGTGTCTCAGAAGCAATGAAGTGATCAATATAATGGGCTGAATGAGCATCAAAAGGGCTATTTTAGGAAGATTAACTCCTCAGAGTGGGAGACAGAGAGACATATCTTGATTAAAATTTCTAGAGCCTTTGTTTCTTGCATCCGCACAATATGATTCTCTCATTTTTTGTACTGCCCTATAATATTAACTCTTAAAAAAAAATCCTACACACGAAGTGTCAATTGGCATCTACATCACTCTTGACAGGGATAGAAATATTTTGCCTCTAAGCAATGTAGTTATTCAGATCATCTGGACTTTGTACTGTAAAAAAAGAAATATCTCTGATGACACTGACATCTAAAATCTCATTGCTCACTTTCTTGTTGAGTGAGAGGCATTGTTGTAAGATGGCAAAAGGGGGGGATTCCAAGCACAAAGGGAAAACCAACAAGGTTTTTTTAAATAAAAAATAAAAAAATTAAGTTACTTCCCTCCCCCTTTCTTTTACTCTGCATGGCCACACAGCATTTCCCCATGATAACTGTTTTGCAAGAGTCAGGTTTGAGCCCAGACAAAGTGCAGATGTGCAGAAGTCTCGCACAACCTGTCCTGTCTGAATACATCTTCTATGGATCATTTATGTCAAGGGTGGGGAACTTCAGGCTTGGGGGCCAACTGCAGCCCTCTAGGCCTCTCAATCTGGCTATGTGGCTCAGCTACATCCACTCTCCTAGGCTGCAATTTTCATTAGCTGTACAGTGGTACCTCAGGTTACATACACTTCAGGTTACAGACTCCGCTAACCCAGAAATAGTGCTTCAGGTTAAGAACTTTGCTTCAGGATGAGAACAGAAATCATGCTCCGGCAGCGCGGCAGCAGCGGGAGGCCCCATTAGCTAAAGTGGTGCTTCAGGTTAAGAACAGTTTCAGGTTAAGAACGGACCTCCGGAACGAAATAAGTACTTAACCCGAGGTACCACTGTACGTTGCACCCCCTTTGAGTGTTTATGTCTGCTGAAATGTGTTCTTGAACTCTTATAATACCTCGTCAGCTTGGATGGAAGATAGTGAGGAGTGTGAGAGTATGTGCAAAATGTAAAATTTGCATTAGTTGCCCCACCCACTTTCCCCCTGGCCCCGCCCACCACTGCCATTTGGCCCCCGCATGGGAATGTGGCCCGTTCTCTGAAAAAGGAGGGCCCCCTCAATTGATGTAGCTTCTAACATGTAAGGCAGTCAGTTTGTCATGATATTCCAAAATGGAGCCTACTACAGAGTACAAAGAAAGATGTGTAACTCAACTTCCATTTTATTTTGTTTCACAGTATTTAAACAGAGGCTCACAAATAGCTTTCATTCAAAATAGACCACACCAGGAGTACTGTGTCCAGTTCTGGGAACCACAATTTAAGAAGGATATTGACAAGCTGGAACGTGTGCAGAGAAGGGCGACCAAAGTCTTGGTAACCAAGCCTTATTAGGAACGGCTGAAGGGGCTGCATATGTTTAGCCTGGAAAAGAGGAGACCGTGAGGAGATATGATAGCCATCTTCAGATATCTAAAGGACTGCCACATGGAAGATGGAGCAAGCTTGTTTTCTTCTTCTCTGGATGGTAGGAACAGAACCAATGGCTTCAAGTTACAAAAAAGCAGATTCCAACTAAACATTAGGAAGAACGTTCTGACAGTAAAAGCTTTTTGACAGTAGAACAGATTCCCACTAGAGATAGTGGGCTCTCCTTCATTGGAGGTTTTTAAGCAGAGGTTGAATGGCCATTTGTCATAGATGAGATTCCTGCATTGCATGGGGTTGGACTGGATGACCCACGGGGACCCTTCTATGAAAACAATAGTGCTAGAACAAAAACCAGCACCCTAAGACTCATGTATAGGTACTGAGAAGGGAACTAAGAAGTATTCTCCTAATTAATGCTGTCTGCAAAATGTAGCCTTTCTTACCATAGAAATGAGTTACCACAGCATGCATTTTCACATTCTGAGTGCAGAATGCACATTGTTCTGACAATAACACAGTACACATGATAAATAATGGAATTGAACACGAAATCGGTTTGTTTCCGGTTAAATTGATAAAGCAGGCTTAAATGAAATTTAGGTAAAAGTTAAATCCGCAAAACACAAGACCTAGCAACAAGAAGGGATATGGGCATGCAAGGGCATTATGGAGGATAATACCAGGGGCTCTGGAGATGTAAGCTCTGCCTAGTAAAGGAAATCACACGATTATTCAATTCAGGCATAGCATCAAAATATGTGTGCACTAACCCAAAGACACAGTGCTCAGTTGCTGGCTGAATGCTGCCTTTGCTCCCATGCGAGACGCCAGCACGATGAGCAGAAGACAGGGCTGTTAAAGAACACTGCTTCTTTAACAACTCTCTGTAAGCTAAAAGAAGCAAGTTGCGGAGGAAAAAAACCCCTTATTCAGCAGTGCAGTGAGAGAGATGATTAATAAACCTCTGGAATATTGCAATTACTAATGTGCAATTAGTGGAGTAGGAGGGAAAGCATGCCTGCACTGCCCTGACCTGGCCCCTCACATGCAGAACTGAAGGTGATGTCAAGGGCATAACCTTCGCCTTGAGGTTAACAGATGCACACCATAATTTTCATGCAACTGAACGCTCTTCCTGCTCTCCTTCGCCAGTGTGGTGTAGTGGTTAAGAGCAGTGGACTCGTAATCTGGTGAACCGGGTTCGATTCCCCGCTCCTCCAGATGCAGCTGCTGGGTGACCTTCTTTGACTTCTTTGACCTTCTTTGGCTAGTCACACTTCTCTGAAGTCTCTCAGCCTCACTCACCTCACAGAGTGTTTGTTGTGGGGGAGGAAGGGAAAGGAGATTGTGAGTCGCTTTGAGACTCCTTAGGGTAGTGATAAAGCGGGATATCAAATCCAAACTCTTCTGCAAAGGGCGCAAGAGAAGATTCTCAAACCAGATCCCTCAACTGATTAGCACCCTGCACTAATCCCTCAAGCCTCAAATACTAAACTTCCATTGTGGGTTACAGTACAGTCGTGCATCTTACTTACACAAATTTACGTGCTTGGTTTCAGCCACTGGGTTTATTGGGGGAAAGACCTCAAAAGCCTGGGAAGGGAGTCTCAAGGAGGTGAGCAGGAAGGAACAGGTGGAAGGTGAGAGGGCAGAGCAGGCCTTATTGCGGGGAACGAAGGAGAAAAGTTTCACATTAAAAATGTCATCCCTGCCACTTCTCTGGAAGAGAACTGGGAAAGAAGTTTATAACTTCCTGGAAAGTGAAGAAGTGGGCAGAGCCTCACCACAGGGCTCCCTGCACTTGCCAGCCACAAGTGGGGAAGCCCTTCTCCCTCTTCCACTGACATCAAAAGGTAATTATCAAAGGTAATTGTGGTTATATGCATATACTCAGTCTGCCAGGAACCAAACCCCCATTTATGGTGTGATGCAACTGTATCTGCCCCACCACCCAGCTAAATATTCCATCAGCTGACCCCAATTCTGTGAAAAATAATGACCATATACCGGTACTTATAATTCCAATCTTCCTTGGGAGGAAAGCTAAGCTTAGGCAAAGCCTTGGATCCGAAGACAAGTTAACTTAAGGAAGTCTGTGGAAGTTTCCTGACCCCTCCTCTACAGCCATGCACTTCCATTAAGTATTTTGTTGACGCAAGGATTTCTCAGACTTTAATTGTTCTCAGCTCAGCCTTTGTAAAGCTCCCACCTTCAGTGGACTATAAATCATAGGTGTACAGTACAAGTTGATTTTGATTATAAAGCTACAGGGAGCTTTATGTTTTCCTTTCAGCACTAGAAACACGCAAAGGACAGGAAAGGCATTGATGTTGCCTGGTGTTTACTATTGTGTTTACTTAGAGGGCTGCTCCATGAATTTACTAAATCATGCAGAAGTTTACATGAGAACAAAAGATTCCCTAGCTGGGTCAGAGAACTGCCTCTCCTGTATTCTGTCCACCAAGACACTCAAATGTCACTAGGAAGTTGTAGAAGCAGGATGATGGGAGAACCACCTACATTTGCAGCTAAGCTTAACTCTGGTTTAAAAACCAGATGCAAACCAGTCCAGTGTCAAACTAACGGTCCATTTCATCCTGTAGCATTAGTCCACGTTCTCCAAGATTCTTTACAACTGGAGATGTCAGAGTTTGAACTTGTGACACTTGGCAACCAAACTGCACACTGACCTCTTTGTATAATTTCTATCTCTGACCTATGTCTCTCCCACGTTGATTGGGAGTTCCATGAATATAAGACACTCTGTCAGTCTGTCTTTGTCTTGTATCAGCTGCCCATCAGTTTCCGGTGCACTTCCTGTTCCTTCTATATCCAGGTCAGGAATGCCTGAAACCTGCTTAAAGGGACAGGGGAACAGCCCTGGGACATGTGAAATGACGTCCAAACAGGGAACTCTACTGAGCATGTGCCAAGATTCTTGCCCAATAAGAAATTACAAGTGAGACCTGCAACAAAATGTTGCAGTGTGCTTACTGTTCTAGTCAGCCAGCAATGCTCTTCTTCAGGATACGCCATTCCATTCCCCTGGTTCGCCATGCCCACCTCCCAATGTCACTTAGCATTCTGTGACCACTAAGCCTTCTTAATCCTTATTGTGCTATTCTGGAGGTTCCCCCCCCCAACTTCTGTTTATTTCCTTAGAAATTATACTGAGCGTTGACGTGGTTCTTCTGAGTGTCTGAAGCAATTCACATACATTACTGTGTAATTCTTACAAGCAACACTGTAGGGTAGTTCAGTATTCTTGTCTCCATTTTGCAGACAAGGACAGAGGCTGAGAGGCAGTGGCATGCACAAGGTATCCTAGCCTGTTTATCGCAGAGGCAAGATTCGAAAAAAGGGCATCTTTGTTTGTAGCTCAGTCGCTTAAGTGCTACGCTACACCATAAACTATCCTTTCCCACAAATCAGCCATGAAGCATACAGGCTGTGTTCCTGAGGACAGCATCCTGTAAATTGACTACTACTGAACTTCACGGCAAGAAACAAGAAGAGAAAAAGAGAAGGAAACCGTGGGTCAAACATGCCTGACATTATATGGCAACATTTTGCAGAAATTAGCTTTTAAAACACGCTGGGCAGAGGAAGGGATAGCTCTTCATAAGGTTCCTTCGCAATCCTAGCATTGGCGATGCCATGCTGTTAGGAAACAAAACAGGGTCCCTTATGAATTCTACATTATTTACATTTGCACTATACAGTATTCTGCCATAAGTAATTTACAAACGGAGGCATCTGTCCAGAGAAGGTTATTAAAGAAACTGTTCAAGACAAGATTACATGGGCACCCACTTCAGCGTAGGTTTCATTTCCATTGCAAATGCAGGAATCCTAAAATGAATCATGTCAGTGAGCAAATCAAAACATGTCACAGCCAGACTTTCAGGAGGGGAAAGCTGAGGCATTCGCACGCTGCTCTCTTTTTTATTCATACCGCCAAACAATCTGACTTAATTAATATCAAGTATATTCATAGCATCACCTGACATTTTATCCAGCACAAAATTGGGCTTTTGACAGAAATCTATTTTTAAAATGCAGCCAATACTTCCCAAAATGCCCTTGGAAACACAGTCTGCATACATGCACACACAGTTGCACAGACATAAGGATTTAAGTTTAACTAGGGAGAGGTAGGCCCCACTGAGCATAATGGGATTTGCTCCTTAGTAATTGCATTTAGGACTGCAGCCAGAAGCTGCAATCCAGAACATACCTTGGCTGATTAAATCCTGCTAAAACCAAACCAGGAATTACATAGGGTAGTGCTTGGCACCACATTTCCGGGGGCATTTTCCCAGGCCTTGCCACAGACACTGTAAGGAAATTAATGAGACATTGAGAAAAGCCTGCTGCTTCAGGTCACCAGGCCCGTGAAGTCCAGCATTCTGTTCTCACAGTGGCCAACCAGATGCCCAGAGGAAGCCGAAAAGCACTCTCCCCTGCTGTGGCTTATCAGAAAGCTAGGGAGAAGCTCTAATGCCGTGACACCCCAATGCCTCCCTTAGCCATAAAATGACCAAGAGACAAACCATCTGCAACTCAGAATGGGTAAATCTACCTCCAGTACATGTAACTTTTGCATGTTGTTGGTTGTTTTTTTTTACCAATATTGCCATTCCACTTTCATAAGAATCTCTGATTTTTAAAAATAAATGCATCTCTCAATTATTAGCACAGAAGTGACCTCCCCAGGGTGCAAGCCTGGGCAGTGTGTATGGAGGTCCTGGGCTGCTCAGACGATAAGAAGCCCCCCCTCGACCTCACTGAAGTGGTCCAAAGGAAAGCAGAGCAATGCTTGGCTGGAGGAGTTGCTGGAAGGAAGTCTTTGGGACTACTGCAACTTTTGGACTGAAGTGTGAGTTGGAATGTGGCTACCCATTTACCATTGCACACTCCTCCAAAAGTTGCAATGCCGTTTTTGTCAGCTTAGAACAGCAACGGGGAACTCTGACTTAACCTTTTAAACCTCCCTTCTATGTCGATGTGATTGCATTTTTTCTTGTATCTCCTTCCTCTTTCCTTTGTTGACTTACCCACAGTCAAAATTTAGACTCTAAGCTCTTTAGTGGCTTGCCATCTGTGAAACTCTGTACAGTGCCATGTATATTGATGCTATTGTATGTTTAACATAACAGCATGATAAACTGCTTTTGAAAGTGAGGAAGCTCCACAGTGGGAGCGTTTTGTTGTGTAAAAAGAAATGTTTAAAATCCCACTGGGCTTATGAAAGCCATTGGATGATCTTTGGACCCCGGATTAAGTCATCTGGCATGAGGGCACACATGCACATATACACACAAATCAAGGTTACATACATAAATGCCAAGTCGAAGGAGATGCCCACTGCCTAATTTTGTACTGTTATCTGTGCAAATCTAGCAGTTGTTAATGGATCAGTCATGCAAGATAGCAAACTTGCCTGCCCTTAGCAAGATAATTAAAACTGTTCCAGCTGTGAACACTTGAGTAGTCCCATTTACTTCAACTGGAAAACTTGCTTGCTTGAGGTTAAGTGCTTTGGTGAATTGGGGACAGTGATAAACACATTGCAACTGGAAATGAATTTTAATAGCACATGGATTGTTAAGCAGCATTAGCAGCCAGTTAGTAATTGACCATGCTAGAAACTAATTATAAAAATGTTTGTGCTTGAAGGATTTTCATTTTGTTTGCTAAAATATTCAGAAAGATAATTTTTTCTCCATTTGGGTAAATGCACAATATTTCAGCTAGTTTGGTAGGCCAAGATTTTATGTATTTGTGTGGTGTGTGTGTGAATAGATATACATACATATGTGTGTGTGTTTTAAAATACATAATCTTTATTATTTCAAAGAAGTTGTGGAATGTGAAGTTGTTGTATACTGTTGTATATTCTCAGGCTATTGGTCAATCTGTATCGGCTACTCTGCCGGCAGCTCTTAGGTCTAAGGCAATCTTCCCCAACGCTGTTTCTTCCTAAAACCTTTGACAATCTTCTTTGACAATCCTAAACCTTTGACAATCTTCCCCAACACTGTTTCTTCCTAAGGTCCTAAGAGTTGAAGATGTCAGAGACTGAACCTGGGACCTCCTGCATCTAAACCATATACAGTGGTACCTCTGGTTACGTACTTAATTCATTCCGGAGGTCCATTCTTAACCTGAGACTGTTCTTAACCTGAAGCACCACTTTAGCTAATTGGGCCTCCCGCTGCCGCCACGTCACCGCCGCGCGATTTCTGTTCTCATCCTGAAGCAAAGTACTTAACCAGAGGTAATATTTCTGGGTTAGCAGAGTCTGTAACCTGAAGTGTAGCAGGGCTTGAATATAAAAGAATGGTCAGGGATGGGGAACCTGCGGCCCTTCAGATGTTGTTGGACTGCAGCTCCCATCGGTCCAAGTCAGGGATTATAGGAGTTGTAGTACAGCAACATCTGGAGGGCCACAGATTCCCTCCCACCCTTCCATTTTTATGTTGTATTGGGGAGTGGAGGAAGGAAGGAAGCTGTGCATTTTAAATATAAAAGCCTGCCAATTTGTGCATGAGTAATAAGTGAGACTGAATAAAGGAAAATAAAATCAAATGTGAAAGCTGGGTCCCTCACATCATACTTTTTCTTTTCTTTATGAAGACCACATGGCCAATTTTGCCAAACTGTACTGTGCTACTTCTGGAGGAAGAAAACAGTTAGAGGGCTCTTAAAATCAGTGTCAGAAACTCAGGTATATAAGCTAAGTGTCAAATAGCTCCTTAAACCAAGTTTACAGTTGCCAAAATGGAATGTCTAGTTGCTATTTGGGGGCAAGACTGCTCTAAAGTCTTATTTTTCAAATGATGAACTGACTGTGATTGATTCTCAGTTTAACACCTGGCTAGTTCAGATGACAACCTTTGAGAACTTAAAAGAAGAAAAGTCACTTGATTCAGCGACAGTCCGCATATATATTGGCCTATTCCAATCTCTTTTTCTTAATGCTGACTGCTCCTGCTCAGGCTGAGCAGAAAAAGCAAACCTCTAGATGGCGCCTTCCTGGCACCCATGCATCTTCACTTGGTTGCAAGTGGTTGAAAGCCAGGTGCAAAATGCTCCTGGCGCCTGGCTAATTTCGAACACTGCTTAAAATACACACCGGGGTACAAGTGTTGCCGATGTCACAACAGTGTAGCACTCTTAATAACCCAGGGTGACAAACCCATGTTTCTCCAGATGTTGATAAGCTACATCATCAACGTCCATTGGCCATGCTGTCTGGGGCTGATGAGAACTGGGAATCCATCAACATCACAGTTTCCCCATCCCTCCCGCAGAATGCTATCACAAACTACTTACTCTGGAGTAGTGTTATTAGCCTCAGTGGGCTGAGTGCTTCGAAAGAATCTGCACTGTTGTAATTTATCCAGAGCAGAAACATTTTCTTTTTTACATCCAGCGACTTGTGACTTGCTTTCTCGTTTTTACTGAATTTTTCAGCTCGAGAGGCCAGAGCAGCCATTAACGGCATTGCCAAATTGCAATGATGGCTGGAGAATAGCAATGGGTCAATACAGGCTATTTTGCTTCCCCTCCCCTCTCTTCATTTCTGTAAGCAAGTAAATAAGGACTATCTTTACAGAATCAATGATGATAAACTAAATTCACAGTGGTCAGAAAGGCTAAACTATTGTGGATTTACTCAAGTGAAAAATTACTGTATCTCAATTCTTGAGCAAAAGGAGAGGTGGGAAACCCTTCAAGCACAATCATTTCTCTCATTAGTTTTGTGGCATAAGTAATTACTAATCTGTTGCTAATACCCAAGAACAATCCACGCATTACTGGAACTGTATTGTCTAGCAACACAAACTCAGGTGCTTAAATAGCTTGCTTCCAAAGATTGGATTTATAGCAAATCAATTCCTGTAACAATAGCCAATTTATTTTACAAGAAAATCTTATTTGCTTCCGTATAAAATAAAGGAAGACAAAAAAGGGGGTTGGATAAACAGAACATGTGCAGCTCATTTATTGCAAAAGCATACAGTCTTTTAAACTGGCTAATGAACTTTTGGAATCACGAGGTCTTGGCTATATTTGTCTATTAAAAATAGGTCCAGCAAAATGTTTACAAGAAAGACACAGTAAAACAGTGGAAGCAGAGCACTGAGATGACATGGTGCAGCTAGTGTTACATATGCATAACCCAGAAGAAAACAAAAGGAAAGAGCCTTCTGAATGTTATCCCAGTCATGTGCAAAGCGTTTCTCTGCAAGCAACGCCTGCTCAACAGTACTGAGGGCTGTTGCACTTGGGTCTTTTTGGGGGATTTCCCACTGACATCTGGGACTAGATGAGCCTCTGGCCTAATTCAGAATGGCATTACTGATACTCTTAACATACAGATTACTCAACAACATGGGCAGGGAGGGATTGATTTTGTGAATGCTAGAAATTGTAGAGTAGAGTTGTAGAGTTGAAAGAGAAAGCTAGGTTCATCTGGTCCAACCCTCTGCAATGAAGGAATCTGTTGCCTCGGAGTCCTTTCCAGTTCTACAATTCTACGATCTCAACTACATTGCTTGACTGTAGCCTGCTCTTACAACAGTTCACTTGTCCCAGCATGCAAGAAGGAGAAATGCACACAGCAGAAATGGAAATGGTATTAACCAGGGACGCGGGTGGCGCTGTGGGTTAAACCACAGAGCCTAGGACTTGCTGATCAGAAGGTCAGCAGTTCGAATCCCCGCGACGGGGTGAGCTCCCGTTGCTCGGTCCCTGCTCCTGCCAACCTAGCAGATTGAAAGCACGTCAAAGTGCAAGTAGGTAAATAGGAACCGCTCCGGTGGAAAGGTAAATGGCGTTTCCATGCACTGCTCTGGTTCGCCAGAAGCGGCTTAGTCATGCTGGCCACATGACCCAGAAGCTGTACGCCGGCTCCCTTGGCAAATAAAGTGAGATGAGTGCCGCAACCCCAGAGTCGGCCACGACTGGACCTAATGGTCAGGGGTCCCTTTACCTTTACCTTTAAGGCAGAGGTTTTCAAACTGTGGTTACCAACTTGGTGCCCAGATATCTCCACGAAGTCGCAGTTGTACCCGTGCCAGTCGCAAAATGTGCCTGGCGCCTGGGGAATTTTGAATACTTGGCTGGATCAATTCATGAAGGGGGCTTTATTTAAAGCAATGGTTCCCAACATGGGGTACACACCCTACAGGGGGGCAATTTGATTTTTAAGTGGGGCAATTCGAGAATGAGTTATTAACCGTGAATGGTCTTTTAGGCTTCCTCCACATGAATAGGAGTTCGCTTTTTGAATAATAAGAATTACCGTATTTTTCGCTCAATAAGACGCACCAGACCGCAAGACGCACCTAGTTTTTGGAGGAGGAAAACAAGAAAAAAAATATTCTGAATCTCAGAAGCCAGAACAGCAAGAGCGATCGCTGCGCAGTGAAAGCAGCAATCCCTCTTGCTGTTCTGGCTTCTGGGATAGCTGCGCAGCCTGTATTCGCTCCATAAGACGCACACACATTTCCCCTTACTTTTTAGGAGGGAAAAAGTGAGTCTTATAGAGCAAAAAATATGGTATATGTCACAGGGTGGGGGCATCAGGATTTTAGAGATGCTTAGGTGGGGCATAACAGCAACAACAACAAAAAAGGTTGGGAGCCACTGATTTAAAGGGAAACAACCTAATCCTGCACAAGACCAGACAGGCTCTGGTGAGTTTACAGTCCCCTGTGCAACACCTTCTCAAAAGGCAGAAGCCAATTTGTCCATGTGCTATTGGCACTTATGGCAGCCATTTAAATAGAGGACACTGTCATCTGTAAAGTAAGACACATGGCTACCCTACTCAAAGGCAAGTTGCTCAGAATAAGATGCTGACTCAGAGGTTGTGGCTTTAAAAGCCCTCGGAGAGGGGGCGGATCCTGACTGGTTAGAGCAGGCTTCTACAACCTGGTGCCCTCCAGATGTGTGGGGCTACAGCTTCCATCATCCTCGACCATTAGCCATGCTGGCTGGGGCTGATGGGAGTGGGAGTGCAAAACATCTGGGGGTTCACCAGGCTGAGGAAGGCTGGTGTAAATCAACATAAGCCTAAGTGCTATAAAAGTGAGTAGACGGTGGATTCCAGCCAAAGAATCAATGGAAGTGACATTTGCCTTAGGGGAAATATGTAACTCCATAGAAACCTTAACTACAGAACCTAGAGCATTTTAATTAAAAGCATTTCACTTAATTGCTTTGTACAGTAGCGTGCGCACCTATACTGACTGAATAAAACGCACGCATAGGATGGGAGCGTTCAATACTGGGTGAAAATCTCTGCCAAACAAAGGAGGGAATTATATCCTCTTCATTATAGGTCTGGTTTCCACCAGGGAACGGAAAAGCTAAAATGAAACTGAATAGAAAGGTCCATCTAGCACACAGTGCGATTATAAGGTATGAAGTCAAATAGGCTCGGCTGAGTGAAGCGATAGGTGTTAAATTAACAGAAAATTAATCAGAAGGTGGATTCATATGTAAATAGGGTAATACTCAAATGATCCGAAATAGGTACTGCATGTTCAGGCAGCAGAACAATGCACCTCCCTCTTTCCTTTCCCTATCGCCTTTCAGCAACAAGAACCACTTACTGTGGATGTAGCAGGGCAGTTATTTCCAATAAATTATTAACCTTGCAAGAGAGAAATCAATGAGAAACCCCCGCACACACCAGGAGCGTTTCTGTGATGGGCCGTGCAGAGCCCACCACTCTGCTTTGGCTAGAATGTTGTACAGACATGTCCTCTTTTTATTTTATACAATACATCATATTCTCCTGGGTTTCTGTACCTTGCTAACTATTGCTACGTATTAATTTTCAGATTTAGCAAGAACCCACCTAATAAGCCAGGGATGGCTCTCATGGTAACAGATGCTGACCAACTGCGGAGGGAAGCAAAACGCCTCCTTGTTTTGAATCTCACGTTCATCAGTGTTATCGGGCCAGACTGGACAATATGCTTACCCTGATTGCTGCACAACACGTGTGGGGAGAAAGGGACAGACCATCTGGTTCGCAGGCAGAAGGCCTCAGGTACAAACCCTAGATTCCAGGGAGGCATGGGAAGGATTCCCCGCCTGAAACCCTGGAGCTGCCAGTCAGTGCATGCTGAGCTGGATGAGCCCATGGCCTGACTCTGTATAAGGCAGCTTCCTATGTTCCTAAAGCACCTTCCTTCATTGGCCATCCCAAATGCATGTTCTGTCTCTGATGCCACTGGATGCCCACGCATAGGCATAATGTTAGGAAGACTGCTTATGTGCGTACAACAGGCCTATTGCTACTGAATCAGCTGTTCAGGGTTATGTGTCAGTGTGGATTTTGAACACTTATTACCTCTTCAAGTATTGTAGTCGCATATGGACTGCCAATGGCAGCAGAGGTGGGATATAGGTGCTGGGTTCATACTCTGGACCTCATGTGACAGAATGATCTGCGTAAGCTTTTGAACATATCAGAACAGTAAAACCAGGCTTATTTTGAGTAAAGTGATTGGAGTGTCCAATGTCAATGGGGAGGGCCTATGCTCTGATAATTTGCTGTGCCCTTCCCAATCATCTAGACCAGTGCCTCCCCAGACCCTCCAAGTGTCCCTATTTTCCATGGACAGTTCAAGATTTACAGAAGCCCTCCCATTTTGGGGCCCCTTGTCCTTAGGATGTCCCTATTTTCATTGGAGAAATGTTGGAGGGTATGGAGTGATCAGAACCCTGAGCCATCTGAAGACAGCCCTGTATAGGGAAGTTTTAAAATGTTTAATGTTTTATTATGTTTCGATATATGTTGGAAGCTGCCCAGAGTGGCTGGGGCAACCCAGTCAGATAGGTGAGGTATAATAGTAAAATCAGGGCTTTTTTTTAGCTGGAACTTGCCAGAACTCAGTTCCAGCATCTCTCAAGTAAGCGCCATGGTGAGTTCTGGACCTCTTTTTCTAGAAAAATAGCACTGAGTAAAATGATGATGATGGTTGTGGTGGTGGTGGAATAGGATGTCCATATATTCATCAGAGAAACGTTGGAGAGTATGCCTCCCCAACTGCTGGGCCCCTCCCTAGAAACTACAGTAATTATGTGCTCTCATCCCATTCATCCCCAATCCTCCTCTGACCAGCCCTGCCAAGACATCTCCGTGGGATTCAGGGCACTTATATACTGTTACAGAACTGGGCTGGGAGGGTGGGTTTCCCCCGTAAACACAAGGAATGAATAAATACTAGGGTTTTGATTAATTAGGGTCTGGGACAGAACTGTACCAGATAGGGAATTCATGGAATTCCCAGGCTGGCTTACACAAACCATCCTGGCTAGCTGGGGAAGAGCAGACCTGTTAGCATTATAAAAAGGTGTTGATGGGCCATAGAAGGTTCCTTTGGCTTGGGGAGTCAGATGTCACAAAGGTTGCCGGGGTAACTGTGTTTGAGGGATTCCTGGGGAGAAGGAGGAGGAAGTAAGGCAGAGATCTCCATCTTGGAGATGGAGACGCATGAGTCTCCTGCAGTGCTGTGGACCATGCCACTAGACCTGGACTCCCTCCATGCAGACTGAAAGTGTAAATAGGCAAATAAACCCTATTTCTAAAAGCACGACAGTCTCCGCTGTGTCTTCCATTCTCCAAAGGGACACAGAACCTGTGTGTGTGTGTGTGTGTGTGTGTGTGTGTGTGTGTGTGTGGCCCCATGCGCTCTGGCCACTGCTTGGCACAGAAAGGGGCAGGCTTTTGTAACAATACAAGGGTGTAATGCCAGGTTAGGTTGGCAAATTAGCCCAAGTACTCCAACTTTACCCTCCCTTCTTCCCAGTAGTACCATTACAATCAAACCAGTACTTGTGGTTTGTTTCTTCCAAACAAACTATTGGGAAACCCAAGAGCAAAACTACTTACTAAATATTTTAATAAATAAAGTGTTGAGGCACTCAGGCACTAAAAGTTACCAGGCACTAAGCATATTAACTTGGAGGTGACTTCACTGCCACTCTCTGAAGTGAACGGGCTTAGCCCCGCAGCTTTTGAAATGCCACCCAAAAGCACCTTTCCTTCCGTGCCGTACCTCCTACGCCCCAGGAAAATATATTCCTGTAGTTCTCAATACAGAAGTGTAATAAGGTGCAAACAAGAGATCACGCCTATCATTTATCAATTAACATGTATTATTAGAAATCATAATGCAGCTGTGTTTCCGACACAAAGCATTTCCATGGATGAGATGATACGTGGCAATTTCAATGAATAAATTCATAAATGTCACCATCCAGGAAAGTGGGCAGGTCTGAGTATGCAATTAGAAGGATCTCCACATACAACGGATCTGAACTCTGCCACTAATTAATGGAACCATTTTCCAATGGATAGACGGGGCAGAGAGAGTGTGCTTGGGTTTTGTTTTGTTTTTCAGTGCCAGCCTAGGTCTGGGAAGGGATGAACTGGAAAAGTATTGCTTAATTCTAGCAATCGTCTAATGAAGTGGCAACATGTACAACAAACGTGCAGAGTCTCATCATGCCACAACCTGCTGTCAATGATGTGACAGGGTTGCTCAAGCTATTTTGAAGGCGGGAGAGCCATGTCACTAGGGCTCAAAAAGCATAAAGCAGGGGTGTCCTCCAGTTCTCGATGGACTACAACTCCCATTGCTCCTGACCACTTCCTCTGCTAGATGGAGCTGATGGGAGTTTTAGTCTAACAACATCTGGAGGGCCATAGGTTCCCATCCCTGGCATGGAACAAGGATCTCAACAGGTGTATGGTGGAAGACACAGGTTGTCCAGCAACACTTTGGGCAACACTTTTCAGAAGAGCACTGGGCAGGGAGATACCTGCCTTATCCATCTGAGCACAAGCAAAGGGCTAACCTCTGCTTTTGGAGAGGGGGTGCCAAAGCTTCCTTCCTAACTCAAGAGATGTAATTTTTTTCCTGAAAATATTTTGCACAGGCTCAGGAACGGAACTGTGTCCTCGAAGAAGAACTCAGGGGGACTTTATATTGTTGTTGTTTAGTTGTTTAGTCGTGTCCGACTCTTCGTGACCCCATGGACCAGAGGACGCCAGGCACTCCTGTCTTCCACTGCCTCCCGCAGCTTGGTCAAACTCATGCTGGTAGCTTCGAGAACACTATCCAGCCATCTCGTCCTCTGTCGTCCCCTTCTCTTTGTGCCCTCCATCTTTCCCAACATTTCCAGGGAGTCTTTTCCAGGGAGTCTTCTCTTCTCATGAGGTGGCCAAAGTATTGGAGCCTCAGCTTCAGGATCTGTCCTTCCAGTGAGCACTCGGGGCTGATTTCCTTCAGAATGGATAGGTTTGATCTTCTTGCAGTCCATGGGACTCTCAAGAGTCTCCTCCAGCACCAGAATTCAAAAGCATCAATTCTTCGACGATCAGCCTTCTTTATGGTCCAGCTCTCACTTCCATACATCACTACTGGGGAAACCATAGCTTTAACTATACGGACCTTTGTTGGCAAAGTGAAGTCTCTGCTTTTTAAGATGCTGTCTAGGTTTGTCATTGCTTTTCACCCAAGAAGCAGGCGTCTTTTAATTTCGTGGCTGCTGTCACTAGACTCAGAAACGGAACTGTGTCCTCGAAGAAGAACTCAGGGGGACTTTATATACTAACTTCTAATAAAGTGCAGTAAGTGCAGATAGGGGGAAAAAAGAAGAGAGAGCCCCAATAAACTTAAAGAATAACTTATACATGTCTCGACCAAGACCATTAGTGCTTCCAAAATCTGCTAAACCAAAGACAACAGTGGGGCAAATGTGTGCACTTGGAAGGGCAACAATGGAGGGCTCATCGTGTTGAGAAAGAGCTGTAGTTCAGTGATACAGCATGTAGTCTGTGTGGAGAAAACCGCAAGCAGGGCCGTCTTTAGCAGATGTGGCACCGGGGTGCAAATATCCGCCCAGCACCCCCAAATTACCACGGATAGTGTTGGGGTGGCTGTAGCTGCGCGCTGCCAGCCATCTGGGGGGGGGGGCAACTCTCCCCCATGCTGCTGCTGGAGAGCAATCCCCGCAGAGGCTTGGGAGGGAAACTGCACACCCGCCAGCCTTATGGTTGGCAGGGCACAGCTGGCAGGCGTGCAGGGAAAGGGGAGGCCGCCGGCAAAGCCGCACAGCTCCCCCACTTGCCGGGGCGTCCTGAGAGGCCGGCGCCCTGGCGCAACGCACCACTAAGCCCTCTGGGAAAGATGGCTCTGATCGCAGGTTCATTCCCTCCATACTTCTTCTATCTTCCAACCCGAGATTTGAAAGTATTTTTAAACTTTTAGCAAGGTTTTGGAGAATGTTTAATGCAATGAGAAAATGAAAATGAAATGAAGAATAGGAAAAGCTATGCAGGACATTGAGGTCTTTTCGCAAAAGACAACTTGAAGGCCTCTCTGCCTTCTCAGATTCCACAAATTCTCATGCTTTTTCAAAACTTATCAGAAACTACTTCCTCTTTTTTTTTCAATTAAAGGTGAGAATCTCAACATGGCAATTTGTGTGCCAGCTACCGAATTTCACACTTGAATAATCACTAATGTTGCATTCTAAAAGCATGGAATGAATCCTAAACACCATTCCCATGGTCTGAAAAGATATGCAAATATAGAGTAGATAGATCCAAGACTGATCAGTAAACAGCAGGACTCTGAATGCAATTCTTCTGCTCAGGAGTGAGATGCATAGGGTTTTTTCTAAGACCGCATGTTTAGACATCTTTCAAAATTTGGGGCTGACTCAAAAATGTTATTGGATGTTTTAGGACAATAGGAAGCTGCCGTATACCAAGCCAGACCATTGGTCAATCTAGCTCAGTATTAACTACACTGACGGACAGCAGTTCCCAGGGATTTCCGGCAGAAGTCTCTCCCAGCCCTACCTGGGAATCGAACCTGGGATCTTCTGCATACAGAGCATGTGCTCTACCACTGAGCTATGGCCCCTTCCCAGCTTCTTATTATGTTATAACACAATCTGAGAAGCAACCCTTGACTCTTAAAAAAATGTGTATTGTATACTGGCCTCGGTCCAGTATACCTGAAGGAGCGTCTCCACCTCCATCGTTCTGCCTGGACACTGAGGTCCAGAGCCAAGGGCCTTCTGGAGGTTCCCTTGCTGTGAGAAGCCAAGTTACAGGGAACCAGGCTGAGGACCTTCTCAGTAGTGGCACCTGCCCTGTGGAACGCCCTCCCACCAGATGTCAAAGAGAAAAACAACTACCAGACTTTTAGAAGACATCTGGAGGCAGCCCTGTTTAGGGAAGCTTTTAATGTTTGATGGACTATTATATTTTAATATTTTGTTGGAAGCCACCCAGAGTGGTTGGGGAAACCCGGCCAGATGGGCGGGGTATAAATAATAAATTATCATCATCATCATCATTTGGTGTCTGAGCAGTTGAAGCTATAAGCCTGTGTCTCACATACCTGCCAAGTGCCCTGAGGGGGCAAAAGGACATCCCCTTTTTTCACGCAAGATCATGGCGGCCATTTTGGGTGCCGTGCTCTAGCCCCAAAAAAGCGCGTTTTCAGAGTGAGAGCATGGTGTAGGTCATGTGACATTCCTGGGAACGCATCCCGGAAGACATACATCCCGGTTTTGGGTTGAAGGCTTATATAATAAAATGCTACCCCGTGAAAAGAATGTTCCCACAACTAGTTAACGAATATGGCAGGGAGAAGCCTATCTAGAACCCTTTTCCATGACATCTAGCATAAATGTGCATAAATAGGTGTTTGGTATTACAGTTGTTGCTATTGGGAAGGACTATGGCTAAGTGGTAGACTGTATGTTTTGCATGCAAAAGATGTCCTGTTTAATCCCCAGAGATTCCAGGTGGGGCTGAGGTCTCTTTTGTGAGCACCTCTTTGTGAAACTCTGGAGAGTGATGGCTGCCATTCAGTGTAGACATTACCAAGCTAGAATCAATCATTTAACTCCCTGCCTGCCATCTGAATTGGTACAGTCCACACACAGGCTGTACCAACTCAGGCTGCAGGTAAGACACCTAATTTGCTGTTTTTGAGAGCTGAACCAGAAACAGTCATTCCTTAAATCAAAAAGAAAGAAAGAAAGAAGAACCCAGGAATACTTTCAAGTTGAGAAAGGTAGGCAAAGGTTTCACCAGATGAGAATTTAACATGCCACTTCTCCCCTACATCAACACGTCTTCCAGATGTCAGTCCCTTTGGATTGACTGTTTTAATATTTTATCACTCTTCCAATGTCATTCTGAAAGGCAATTGAGCTATCACCCAGCCTTTGTCCTCTGCTCTAATAATCTGACTTGCTCCTGCCTGTTCTATAAATCATACACATCAAAGATGCCGTGACTGAAGACAAAGAGATGGGCATTTATGGTTAAAGTCCCCCGAGAATTAACAACCTGCAAGTTTACAACCGCAATTTAAATGCAACCCCAAGTTTCCCAGGAACCACTGCAGCGTGCAATCGTCCGTTCCAGTTCAAGGAAACATACACACACATCAACTTAAGCCTGAATTGTGCTTTTATTTTTTTATTTAACAATATTCATATGTCCACTTAACAATAATCGAACTCTCTAAGCAGCTTACATAAAGGGGTATAAAATAGCAATAAAAAATAGCAATAAAAACAGACTTCAAAAAGGTAAACATAGTAAAATTAAAAGCAAACATACATAATCAAATTAAAGGCCCGGAAGGGCTTTCCTAAATGAAAATTTGTTAGGCCTCGAAAACTATACTATGAAGGCACATGCCTAATATCAATTCTAACAACACACACATACACACATGCCTAATATCAATTCTATCAACAACACCCACACCCACACACCTTAGTTGCAAGTTAAACATGTTCTAACTTGGACCAAATTCAGACCATACGTTTAACACACTTTAAACAGTCATGGGTTCCCCCAAATAATCCTGGCAGCTGTAGTTTGTTATGTGTACTTAGAGTTGTGAGGAGACCTCCATTCTCCTCACGGAGCTATTATTCTCAGAGTTCTATGTGAAGCGGGATTGACTGCTAAACCACTATCCACCTCACCCCACAGTTGCTAAAATAAGGCGATCCAGTCACCAGGGGTGTTAAAAGAAACTTTAACAAAGCAAGCTAACCTGTGGCCCTCCAGATGTTCAGTGCCTACAATTCTCATCAGCCCCAGTCCAAAACTTCTGGTGGTGGGGGCACCAGCTTGGCAATGAATACAATATGGAATATGCAATCAGAAACATTCCTGGCCTCTTTTATCTCCCTTATTTTCAATTAAAATCAAGTAGAGTTTCATTTTATTTTTTTAAGGGCACCTATCCTTGGGACCTCTGGTGAGGCAAGATGGCGAGCATCACGGCCTCATGGAGCTCCTAAGGACCGCCAGCACCAACGTCGCTGGCTGCCTGGTCCCCTCGTTGCCAACACCGCCGCGATCAATTACATGGGAGTAATTCCCACCAAACTCAATTGGCCATAGTTCTGTGTAGACATGTACAAGACTGTACTATTGCAAGCATAGTTTAATAGTATCATATAGTTCAAGGTGGCTTAGAAAAATAGTAAAACACAAAGCAATAAGAGCAGCAAAATTATACTGAGTGGCAGTGACAGAGTAGTAGTAGTAGTAGAAATAAAATAAAAATTGTCCAGTAGCACCTTAAGAGACCAACGAAGTTTGTTCTGGGTATAAGCTTTTGTGTGCATGCACACTTCTTCAGATACCGTAGTAGTAGTAGTAGTACTACTAGTAGTAGTAGTAGTGTAACATTATTATATAATTATTATACAATATCTATAAATAAGTAAAACAAATAAAAAACACAGAATCAAACCATATTGATACCCCACAAAAAACCTCAAATGTAAATAATGCAATCACCAAAATCATTTACATTCTCACTATACAGAACTAATTTAAAAACAAAATCCTCACATACCCAATCATTCAACAATCATACCCATCTTACCCGCATCAGATCCCCCCAACCAATTCTCAGTTCAACAAAGCACTCGTTCTTACAACCAGTAATCTTAATAAGGATGAAGAAGTTAGTTCAGTCTACGTTTGGAATGGAACCTGCTTGTTTCACATCTCCCAGACTTTTACATCGGAACCAGTTACCAAGGAGACTGAGCATTTCTCCAAAGTTTGTAGTGAAGCTCCGGAGTTTTGTTTTTAAAAAGGTGCAAAAACACAAATATGGATACACAAATATGGAAGTGGATACAGAAGTGGATACATTCAGGGTTGCATCCAACATTAGTCATACTCCAAGCAGACCCATTGAAACCATCCGGCATGACTTAGTTCCATTGTTTTCAGTGGCTCTCTTCTGAATAGAACTTAAGCCAGGTAGAACAAACCTGTTATTATTTTGCACATATTTGATATAACCACCCCCAATGCTTTGGACTACAGCCCTGATCATCCCTGACCACTGGCCACGCTGGCTGAATCTGATGGGTTCTGGAGTCTGACAATACCCCAAGGTATTGTGTAATTATTGTGCATTTTGTGCTTAATTTTGGCAGATTGAGAAATCATTTTAATCAGTCTGCTGTACTACAGTTCCTGACACACCTCTGGTGCTTAAAAAATACCATTAAAGTGTAGCAGCAGCAGCAACATTGAGAAATGAACGTCTTCCTTTTATATCAGATGTAGTTGAAAAGTCAGAATCTGTCACCTATTAGAAAAGGAATACTTTATGTTGGCAGTTAAAAGCAAGAGGGAAAACCTAATAGCCTGATAGATGTTTTAGCATTTTGCAGGCAATATATATAAAGTTTGATTTCATATAAATGTTTTATAAATGTCTTTTTGGGCTCCGTCATAGATTTGTGGCAGCAATAAGCTAACCAATATATTTACTGACTACATAAAACCAAAATTTGATTTTTTTCCTTTTATCACAATTGAATATATTACAGCTTGAATTCATTTCCAAGTACCCTTCCCCAACCTGGTGCCCTTCACACAATTTGGGCTACAACTCCCATAAGCCCCAGGGAGCCAGCACAAAAGTGGTCCCCCAAAAGATCTGGCGGGTACCAGCTTGAGGAAAGCTACTTTAACAGAAGAAAGTTGAGGAACAAGGAGGTACAAGCACAGTGTGCTCTAAATATAAAGTCACAGCAGAAGGAAATGTGAATGTGAATTCTTTTATACACACACACAACTGTGAATACCTCCTTGCAAGCATTGCACAATGCACTGCACAATGTCTTGGGCTGTGATGTTGTGTGGGTATCACATTTTATCGACAGATGAAGCACCATGTTTTACAACAATGCCATGACACATGGCAAGGAACAAGCAAAGGATCATTCAGCATATAATGAGTATTTGCAGTGTTGAGAACAACAGGAAAAGAGATTGTCATTTATTTCAGATTAAATAAAACTGGCATTAGGGGTTGTAAGTGCAAGTAGATAAATAGGTACCACTCCAGCGGGAAGGTAAACGGTGTTTCCGTGCGCTGCTCTGGTTTGCCAGAAGCGGCTTAGTCATGCTGGCCACATGACCCAGAAGCAGTATGCCGGCTCCCTCGGCCAATAAAACGAGATGAGCGCCACAGCCCCAGAGTCGGTCACGACTGGACCTAATGGTCAGGGGTCCCTTTACCTTTACCGGAGGAACCCCACACCCTGCTGCAGCCGCTCCCCCTTCCTTGCTATTGCTGTCTGTTCAGCTACCCTATCTGAGTTACCATGAGAGAAGTAAAGGACAAGGAGCAGTAGCTTCCACGGGCATCATCCTCTCCCTTTGAGAGGTGGTGCAAATTGGGCTCAGAAAGATAAGGTGCAAGATAAACACTGGTAATACTGACAAGGAGGGGGCTCACTGAGAGCAAATTTCTTAAGAAACCCCAAACTCGAAATCCTGACTATGGAGCTGGATTAAAAGAGCAAGTTTTAAAAGGTGCATGCAGATCAAAACAGAAGAATAACGTTAATTG